TACAGACCAAGTATCGCCATTTTTCATTTAGTCAATAATAACATACGTGATCACAGTACATTGAATTTTGCACAAAACACAAGAGGTACTATCCTAATTGTTACTGGTCAACTAAAAGGTATCAGTACATTATGCTCTTACCGGGAAAAATCCTTCAAAATTTTTGCTAAATTTGTTACATTAAGTCTGTTTTTACTTGACAATATAACTCTTTTTTTCTACATAGTACTCATTTCCAAAAGGTTTTTTTCATTGGACAAAAACTAGTTGAAAATTAATCGTTATTATATTAAGCTCTTTTCTACATCATACACTTTTCGGCAGAGTTTCGTTCTCTAATCTACATGCTTCATTCGTGTAGACTTCATTGTTCTTCTGAATACACAAATTCCAGGTATAATTGAAATATTCGAGTTTCTCCACATATAACTAACAGGTCATTTTGTCTACTCTTTCCCAAAACTATAAAAATGATGACTATATATGTATCACATAAATGACCATTTTGAAGACAGTTTTACAGATTTTTTGAGTAAATATGGAATAAATCACTGTGCAATAGATAGAAAGTACTTCTATGGCCCAAAGGTGTGTGACTAAATTTAGATATGATCACTAAGTCAGAGTCTACTAACGCCAGCATGTTAATACATTAGCAGTTGTATACAGAAAATGTAGAATTAATATACAGGAGATAAAAAGTATTTTACGGCCTCAAGAAGTATACAAAAGCAAATGGACGTCCAGTTACATAGTTGAGTTTCTATACCAAACATATGTTGATGAAAGAGTTATAAACACTAAATAATCCATAAACATTGGAAAAACGCTGTGAAAATCTTATTCCATTAGCAATAAACTCTTATTTGACCCATATGTGAGTAAACGCTTCTATGTCATTTCGACAGTAGTTTGTTTTTTCAGTGAAACATTTATCGTAACTTTCATGTTTTATTTTAGATTAATATCTAGTACATTCCAATTACTTACAAATGGACTCCGATAACTTATAAAAATGATTATATTCATTAACAAAGACCCCAAATTCAATAATCATTCCATGAAATATCTCTTTACATCTTTTAAGTAAAAATGTGTATTAGTTCATATCGTATTCAGGTAAACTGACTCATCATCATTGTGTACGTTGGAATATTTTAGATAAGATGTTGCTTATATCTCTATACACTCATCATTACTATTCTGTTGTGCTAACTCAAATATTCCTTATCTCTTATATTACAAATACAAAATACAATAAATCCAGAAAATTTTCAAATTGGGCTATACGCCTTTATCAATTCCAATTATATTCTATGGATTCGGTTTATCATAAGCTTTCCGTTAACTCATTAACTACTATCATGCCACTTACTATACCTAGTTTCTTGCTAGTCTACTACTTACAGTTTCCCTTTTTCACAGTAACTTTGTTGTGATGCCATCCGGTATGTCTGTGTATGTAAAACCACGCCTGATTGAAATACAAATAAAGTAGATGGTTACTGATCTTTGGACTCAGGGAAAGGTATAAAGAGGAGCTTCCAAATAACTGATCAATAGGGGCTTAACTGTCAGCTCAAGATTAGTGGTGCAAGTTAGTCTTGTAATTGTTCAATTTGGAGACACTAGGCTGCCGAGTAGACCAAATTAGAATTAAAGTTATGATCGATAATCTAACACATGAAATTGATCAGCGGCCTCAAGATAAAACAGTTAAGGAGTGTATAACTCGTAATTTCTGATTGGATTTGATAAACAGTTTCAAAGAATAAATCTAAGTACGAATTTTCCGTATCTATCATGTGTTGCAGGATCGATAATGTAAGTCACTTAATTTGTTGTTCACTAAGCTACACTGATAGATGCTTCCGAACGTGACAAATAAGTGACCTCAATGAATGACCTAGTATAAGGGGAAAACTAATGATTTCTCAACAGATTAGCTAATCTATTCAATTTGTAAATGAAATATAAAAAAACTGTCTGAATATTCCGAAATTTCCTGAAATGTTCACTTGAAGAATCATTAGTAAATTAGGTACACGAAATGATGATAAGACCATTAATATCGCTGAAATTACAAATCAGACGTTCATCTAGTAAATTTGTGATTTACTTTTCCCCTATATCAGTCAAATCTCTATTGTACTCAACAACTTTTAATTATCTTAACTTTATAGACATGATATGTATTAAGATAGTAGTGTTATGTCTTTGACCTAGGCTGTAGCCAATTGCTATGACTTGATCAAGGTCGTCGCTGATTCGTTATGACCTTACGAATTTAACAAGGACGTAATTCGCGTAAATTATCCACCAATAGAATACGACTTCTACGACCTTCACACTGTGACAATGACGTTCGATTAGTATGAGTAATCTAGCGTCCTTATTGGTCCGTATCCGCCTAACCCGTCCACTTGAGTCCAAAACACCAATAGCAGCTGCTGTAATGCGAATCGTTTATTTCAAACATACTTTGTCTATATACCAAACAGGCAGACCACACCATAAAATAGAAAATAATATTTGTACAAAATCAAGCCAAACGTGGCTGGAAGCGTGGGAGACAATAATCAATAAACTGAGCATAACATAGGAACAGTAAATCATATAATAATAATCAATAAGTCAAAATGAAGCTAGTAATAAGATGAATATAGACATAGATAATTCAGTTACTGAATAGTTATACCATAGGAATATAAATAGATTAATAGTCTAATAAGAGGTCCCGTAAGTTATCAGTACTTACTTTTTTCCTAGTATATAACAAGTACTACAATCTTTTCAATAGTTTTGAGATTTTACGATTTATTTATACAGAGCTACTCCTCGAACGGCGAAACTTAAATCTATGGACGAATCAATCAGATTTAGGATAATAGGTCTCGAATTTTGGCGTGAAATTTATTCACCCACTTGCCTAAACAGAGTTTTGGCATTTTAGCTCATGTCAGTTCGTGATGAAAACCCCAAATATAATTCCTAACCCTAATCATCAGCTGTAAATCATAATTCCAATTCCTCGCATTGCTTTATAGCCCTCATTGAACCTTAGTAGGTGTACATTATCAAGATCACTAAAGCGTCGCCCAAAAATTATAGTCTCGCCTAATTTTTCATTTACTTTTACTCAGAACAGACTTCATTACCGTAAAATAGTGTGTTTGAGTGTATTTATATTACTCGTATTGAAATATTAAATGTACTTGTATTATTTTTCTCATATCATTGCTTTTGATCTTAAAATAAAACGTTATAAAATTCGTTTCTTGCTTCATAAATATAGCTGCCCAATGATATTAGAAAAACGTGTTTTACATTTTGACTACTTGCGAAACATTAGTAATATAGTACATTACCAAAATTTCTTAACTGTAATTGACCATGCAACAAACGAAGCCTAAAAATGCATACATACAATTTCTTTAGAATCATAATATATACCATGATAAGAACGTAACCATGGTGAACAGCCCAATAATTCTACACGAATAACCAAGTGAATAACGCCTTTCATTATTGTTAAGAGATATTGACCACAAACGAAGTTCGTAAATACCAAATCTGAAAATCCTTTTTATACCCACCCCCTTTCCAGAAGATGAGTTTGTGAAAGCTAGGTGGGATTAGTTGCATCATTGTACCAGATGAACAAAAATGAAAAATAGAACCGTATTGAATAGTCTTTGGGTCGTAAGCGCATAGCACGTGTACTTCAAGCCTGGAAACAGTATAAGCATAGATGTTGATCCTTACTATGGAATAATTCGCTTCGAGCTACGTACATCAACCTCAAATCGTATCTCTATTAACTGGTCATTTTCGCTTGCCACGATGCATGCTTCAGGTAGACTTTTTGACGGTAGGCATTGATGACGCTGTCCACAACAATGAAATGTTTGCAATTACACAATCTAGCTTATACAACAGCACCAACTCATCCACTTAAGCTACAAATTTCCACTATTTGATAAACCTTATGTGACCAATCTTACTGATTAGTTAACAATGCATAAGTACTAGTGCATAGCAACTGAGGTTAGTTCCTAATGTATAACTGGTTAGTATATAGCCAAATACTTCTCAGTCAGTTAAAAGCGATATAAACTAGGGGACATACGTGCTGCAGCCCAAGCTTCCATACTATAACAACTCGATGAGGTAAAACTAGGAACGGCAGTCAAACTGAAATAATAGTGATAGTGAAGAAACGCAAATATTAGAAAACGCGGTTCGAAAAGCAATGGATTTAAGATATAAAATTTACGAGAAGACTGAAGCCCAAGATGTTGGTGAAGATAGAAAATGAATGCAAACACACCACTGTGACCGATTATGAGACATGTCACTAGACATCTCCAAGCACAGATATCGATTATCATGTAGACCATAAGCTAGAAGTTTGCACATACCCAATTTTTCCAGAATATTTGAGCTGGTTGCCCTACAATCTTCATTTGCAAAGATTAAAAACAGAAGAAAATATGGATCCCGTTCAAGCATGATACATCCCCGAATCTAGGATATTACGAAATATATTACTAAAAGCTAAAATATCCACCCTGAGAAACAAGAATCACGCCGAAAGATAATTGCACAAGAATATTCGTTAACTGGATTTTAATCTCAGAAATTTTAGAATCAATCATCAATATGCGTTTCAGAAGCATCTAACTAAAATTTTCGATTGATTAATTCACTATGTGAAGACCTTATGAAACTCGTAATTTTTTCACTACACTTATTTCTATATGAAGTCGATCCTGATAGCTCATAACCTGTTAGTCAGCTTCATAAGGACTAGTTGTTCCAAAGGATTTTCAAGTTATGTTCCTTTCAATATGTTATTCAAATAGTGATGTTAATTTCAATTTTCTTCCGCAAATTAACAAACATTTGTTTAACATATCTAATAAAATATGAGAAAATTCTACACTACTTAATGAAAATGCTTTATTTCAACACGTTCTCAGTAATGATAAACTAAAGCCAAATAGAACTCTATCTCAACTCTATTATCAAAGATAAGCCCATAGTTCCACAGGTCTTTTATCGAAGTCCTTACGGTATCAATCTTGTTTAACAAAAATGTGATAATTCAAGCTTATTAAATTTGTGTAGAGGTTTATCAGAAAAACTGGTGAATGTTAACTTTAAGATGTGATATACTGAAGGTTGGTGGGACCCGGAAAATACGTTGCTAACACAAACAATTTTATTAGACAATTTTCCGAAATTTCAGATCAGCATTTTTCCCACCAAAAGTTGCCTAGTTATGTCTCCTTTATTTATACTACTTTCCCTTATCCAATGGTAAATTAACCGATAGTTTTTAAAGGATGTTGTAAACATATCTATGCAGCATAATTTTAGTTGTGCCTTACACATAAATATGATTTCAATATACTAAAAGAGAACAAACTAGCTTATTAAACGGATTGTGAGATAAATAAACAAAAATATATAGATGATACAATTTGTATTCGAAATGCTCCAGTTATTATACACATATGTAAGCAATAGACTTCAAATTTACTATTTTTATAAAGCATGTTTAACATCAGCTAAAATACACATCCGACGTACAATTTCATATACATTTGCTTATTTGATTGTTTACGGCAACATGAATTTGAAAAGCTAAAATATGAGATGTATGGAAGATACATGCATTTCATCTATGAGCAGACAAACGAAGTGATGATGCGTAAACATAAAAATCAGTCTCTGGCTAAGGTCACTGACTTAAGAGAGACTCAGTCTTTATATCTAAATAAGTGTGTAAGGTACACATATACATGCATTCTAGCATGCACACATCAATCTAGAAAAGGGAAAAACTACACAAATGAGTGAATAGCCCCACAAAAATAAGCACAATGGGCCTATGATGATAATTATAAGAAAATGTACTCACAAAACACTTGACCGGAATGGAATGACACACTTGGTTAGACAAACATGCTACATAAAGGTGTTAAACCAATTACAATGTTTGAAATGTTATTATTAAATCCAAAGTATAGAGTGTTCTGTTTAGGTTCGTGTAGATCAAAGTTTTTATTCTGATTATAAAACGTCAGATGGAACTAACATTCAAACACTATCTTAGCTATACGCTTCCAGCTCATATGAAAACCACATTCAGTAAGGAAAGTAAGCATAAAACTATTAGCAGATGTAAAACGAGTGAAACTAATGTCATAATGACGGATATGAACGTGAAAATCTGTAGGTTCATTAACCCTACAACTGATTTGTTTCAGTCGCATATCACCCTACTTCAAATCACAGAAGTTGCTCAACTGGCCGTTTTAACAAAGGTAAAAGGTGATTCAGATATCATGGTGAAATGCTGTAGCAACAACAATTATGTGATTGTTAGCAATGCTGACCATACAAACTAAAATATGCGAAGCAGGATTTTGAATTTCGACCCAATAGCTAAAAATCGAATGGTCATACAAGTGATCAACATTTCGACATACTCTGAAGAAACTTGTAAATGATTGTGATATTTTTATACTCCTTGTCGTTAATGATCACGTCTAAAGATGAAGGGACGAGTAAAAGGTCCAATGCACAACCAACTTCTTTGGTATAGCGATATACCATCTTTCTGCCATATATAATCTATGATACTGAATATAAACCGAGTTTCGGTAGACTACCAGTCCATCAGAGCTAAAGCTATTCTCCAACCATATGAATTGACTATAACAGTTAACCCTTCTATCCATAATATAAAGACGTCGCAATCTACTCAGAAACTCGAGAGATAAAAAAGATTTTGAAATTTTCTCTCAATGTGCTTGAAAGACTGTATTTATTCAGCGTCTTGAACTAATATAACTCAATCAATTAGTGAATTTTCAGAGGTAGTAACGCTCAAAAAGTAAGGTCAAAAAACGTCCAGTCGAATATGCAAGGAAGATATTTGGTGAAAATAAGAGAATTTAATAATTGCGATTATATTTGCTTCATACAGCTCCAAAATTCGTGTCAAATTAGTACGAAATTAAAAAGCTGATAATCGAACGGCATAATCAAAACTTAACCACTTTAACGTGATATTGAATGATAAAATCATCCAACATTAATAGCTTGTTTCTTAACTTATTTTTGAGCATCAGGAAATTATTGAGTAGTCTTGACTGTGAAGCGCTAATTGCTACCGTTTCGCAACCACAAGTCTACAAAACTCTACATTGTGGTGAATATACAATTTACTTGAATTCAGAAAAAAAGATTGCAATCAAGTCAAATTATAATTATTTTTACAGCGCCATTATTCTTCCTATTACAAATCAGAAAATTTCTATAATATCTCCGAATCTTCATCCATATACATGCCTTACTTCGAAAATTCAGTTGAACAAATGTTAAAGTGAATCCTCGTCTGAATCGATAGCTGCACGACGACGATCAAACTATGTGAACGTAAGTCGTAAAACTAATGAGTTAAATATCTTACCTTTACTGTGGTAGATTTCTGTGTGCCCGAAGAAACCTGCAGGAGGATTTGTTTTAACTGCTCTTCATTCAACTAAAAAGAGTTACATATAAGAAAAATACTAGAAAACATTAGTAATCACAAACAGACAAAGCTTGTAAAGCGGAACGAAATTCAACGTCTTTGTTTGATTGTATGGTTTATAAATAGCAAGGAATTTCATTATACTACACAGAATACACCAAGATAGGAAGGCGAAACGACTCTGGAAACAATACTTTATTATAGAAATACTTTTCAAATAAAACAACTAGGACCTAAGTTCAAATTTGTGGTTGAAACAACGAAATAGGTCCTTAAACCTCATATATTGAACATACATGGCTAGTGGACGCAAATAGCTATGAAAAAATCAATTATCGAGAAAACAGTATATGTCTGAAATAATAATCAAAGAAATTCAAGTAAATATTCAAATCAAATAATAATCAAAGAAATTCAAGTAAATATTCAAATCAACAATGTTATCAGCATTATTCTTCGGTTAATAATACACGACAGGATACAAATGATACATATACATCTGATATTGATTCATTATGTGATTCTATTAGTCGATCAACTCATTCACACTTACTTCTTATTGATCAAAAAGAAGATGATTATCATGATGAATCTGGTAGAGAAACTCCAGTAGTGGATTATTTTGGTGATGAATTTCAACAACAACATAGTCAGAAAGATCAACAACATTCAAATGCATTTTCATCGTCAACAATTGGATCTTCATTGATAGTACGAAATGTCAAATATTCTGATGAAATGTCTATTGTTAATAATCAAAATCCTATCCAATCAATTATTAACAATGATACTAGTAGTAATAATAGATTAGATGATTCAGAAGAACCATTAACACATTCAGTTATAGTTAATACAAATAGGGAATTATATGAAGAAGATTTTAATGATTTTGCATCATCATCAAAAAGTTGTTCAACTTATGAACATTCTAATGATCAAGATGATAAGAAACGAAATAAATTCAATATAAATGAAACACAACTATCATTATTTCATCAAAATAAACAATATAATAATAAAAATAATAATTTAGATGAAAAAACCAAATTAAAACAATCAAATAATAAATTAAAACATAAAAATTCTTCTAATTCATCAATTAAACTATCATCTCATAAAGGTGTAAGTTTTTAGAATTTCTTCCATCAACAAACTTATCTAGATTCCTTATTTACTTTATAAAATATATGTAACTCATCAATCGTAACCAATGGTTGGAGACTCTAGGTGACATGGCTCATAATCAATCACAATGGCGTAGGTGAATACACTCTTTATCTTCCCTTAAACTTTGAGATTAAAATTGCTTCATATCTGTCTTCCTTCCTATAATATATCCTTATATACAACCTTTATATATATTCCACCACTAAATCAACTACTACGAATTTGGTGTTGATCTTGTTGTGCTTATGAGGTATGGCAACTTGGACGAATGCATATATGTGTCTGGCCCACGTTGTAGCTGACTGACTGACGAAAACTATCTATAGAGTTGTATTTCACATAACACAGTATACCATATTTTCTATGAACTCTTATAATTGTAATAAAAAACAACAATATAGTATTCGGGTTATACATATGAAAAGAAATAACACGTCGTTAAATCTAATGTTCATGTAAAATTATCTTCACTTTTTATTAAACAATGGGTTTTTTACTGTATCACTGTCCACAATTTCCCACTAGGTTCAATTCGGAAATTAGTGATATCAATAACTTCAATTTTTTCTTATCTAGTGATTCTAAACTCTTTTTTACTTTTCACTTTACTAGAAGGTATTGCCTCTTTGATTTACTTTACAGTCAAGGATATTCACGATGCTTAGTTTTCATAAGTCAACTTCTTTATGATAAACTTTACGGATGAAATATTCAATTGCTTGTCAACTTATTTTGATATGTCATTGAATGACTTTAAGACTGGTATGTTCTAATAATACACATCCTACCGTGCATCTAAACTAAGGACATTTTTGTACTGTCTATGGGGTTATAAACAAAACTTGAGTAGTCGCCTCAAAGTATTTTTCCCAAAGGTAAATAAACACGTTCAATTACGTGAAATGATTGACATATTCAAACTACTTCATGATTTTTGTTCACTTAACCCCTTCGCTGAATTCTAATTTTTTTTATTCCTGTAGTTATTTATAGTTTCCATTGATCACGAAACTAAGGTTTTTTTAAAAATATATTCAACAGAATATTATACATATAATATTTTCTACTTGTATACAAATTTGCCCTATTAAGTGAGTCAAACAATTTATGGTTCATGGACTAGTTCATATTTTCTGTTTTGTTTTGGGAGTTGTAATTTCTGACTTTCTATTTATTGTGCGCAAACAATAACAGTAATAAAATTTTTCTTTATGTTGCTTTATCTATATACCAGCTGACACAATAGATCTTGGATTTCGACCGTTGCTGCTACCTTGACGTGGTGGTCGGGCTTGCCTATCGTGATGAAGCAATCGAGCTATGCTGGCTGGAACAATCGTTCCTCGAGGTCCTACCATGCCAGACAGGTCGGTTGAAGAGCGGTGAGACTAAAAGCAGCAAACCCAAGGTCCGAAGGCGAAGTCGTACTGTCGACTGTACAGAGGTGTGACGGCAGTAAGGTGTTTCCTTCAGACAACCAGCATGACAGCGATGCTGCCTTTCCACAAGGAGGGGTGGGGTTAGAAAAGGTCGGCCCTAAAAATGCACACCTCGCCTTATCCCACGGATATCCGTCTCCGGCGGTAAGGTCCTTTGAAGAACGGAGCTAACACAAAAACTACCCACAAAAAGGTCGTGTGTGACCGACCTCAAGCAGTTGTCCCTTGGGCACTGCGGTCACGCTCTCAGGTCATTAAGACCACTTCTAACCCAATTTCCTTTTCAGGTACCTCTAGAAGAACCCTTCCACGGTGTGGGCAACCGGGAAGTGATAACTGCCCTCATACCCCTAACAGCACTCAAGACCACCTTATTCATAATCAATCTCCTTCAATTCCTACTATTCCTTCTACCTTGACTTTCAACACTAAACTTCCTGTTCCGGTTTCCTCCTCAAGTGTCACCATGGCCAACGATTCTAGTGCGCGAAACGCTGTCCCAGGTCTACTTAAACCTCGCTCCAAACTACACATTGGAGCCTTCAACGTACGTACCCTATGCCAAATCGGTCAACAGGCCTCCTTAGCTAAAACCCTAGAATCTCGTACCATTGATGTATGCTGTGTCTCCGAAACACGCATACAGGATCCCAGTGTGGTCATTCACTTGACCTCACCTCGCCAAAATGGACAACCAACGAAATACACCCTCCGTGTATCTGGCGACCCGTTGGCTAGTTCTCGCGGACTTGCAGGTGTAGGCATAGCACTAAGTACAAGGGCAGAACAGGCACTATTAGAATGGATCCCCGTTAACAGTCGCCTGTGTGTTGTCCGGCTGAATGGCTCCGTAAGAACTCGGAAGGATAGGGACACACGTCGTTGCCTTTTCGTCGTTTCTGCCTACGCTCCCACTGACTGCAGCCATGATGAAGTGAAAGATGACTTTTACAGAAAACTCTCTGAGCTTCTTCAGAAAGCTAAGCGCTCAGACATAGTAGTCGTAGCGGGTGACTTTAATGCCCAGGTAGGCAGCTTGAATCAAACAGAAAGACATTTAGGTGGGTGTTTTAGTATTCTGGCTCAACGAACCGATAATGGTGATCGTCTGTTGCAACTATGCTCAGACAATCGTTTATTTTTAGCAAGCACTAATTTTAAACATAAGGAGAGACATCGTCTAACATGGTGACCACCTGCACCAAACCAACGATGGACTCAAATAGACCATATTGTCATCAGTCATCGTTGGAGAGGCTCAATAGAAGATTGTCATTCGTATTGGAATACTTGTTTAGACTCTGATCACGCTTTAATACGAGCGCGCATTTGTCTGCGCCTCAATGGACGCAGGAAAAGTACACTAAGAAGACCCATTAGGATTGAACTGGAGGACGAGAAAGCCAAATGCGAATTCCAGAAACAACTGAGTTCACATCTAGGCAGCTCTGTAAACAAGACTGACACAGATGCTGTTTGGAAAGACATACGAACAGCTGTGTAAAACAGCAGTAACATCTATTAGTCATTTAAACCATAGGGCTCCAAAAAACCAATGGATTTCTTCTAAGTCACTGATGGATTCGCGTAAACTCATCCCATCAGGCTCTGAACATGACGAAGAGCGTAAACAAATTAGATCTAGGTTAACTAAAAGTCTAAGGAACGATCGTAAGCAGTGGTGGGCAACGAAAGCAAACGAGATGGAAAAGGCAGCGGCTGTAGGGAACACCAGGCAACTATTCAGACTAATAAAAGAAACCGGAATTAAGAAGTCAAGTGTAAGTGAGACAATCTCCGAAAAAGACGGAACCCTTATCTGCTCTCAACCCAAACGTTTAGAACGATGGGCGGAACACTTTAAGGAGCAGTTTAGCTGGCCTTCAGCTACTGCACAACTACCCACTATTCCTAGAAAACCTGAATGGAACATTGAAGTAGGCCCCCCGACCCTACTTGAAGTTCGAAAGGCTATAGGTAATCTGAAACGAGGAAAAGCAACTGGTCCAGATGGATTGGCTCCAGAGGTCTTTAAATATGGTGGTCCGATTTTAGCGATTAGGTTGACTAATATTCTGGCTAAAATCTGGGAGTTGGACGTAATCCCACCCGACCGTTCACAATCACTGATTGTCCCAATATATAAAAAGGGGTCCAAATCATCCTGCGATAACCATAGAGGGATTAGTCTGACTAACATAGCATCTAAAATACTAGCCTCAATAATTATCGGGCGCCTAACTAAGACTCGTGAACTGCAAACACGAGAAAATCAGGCTGGCTTCAGACCTGGTCGTGGCTGTATCGACCACATATTCACCATTCGTCAAGTTTTAGAGCACAGACACGCTTATCGGCGTCCGACAATGATAGTTTTTCTTGACTTGAAAGCAGCATTTGACT